CCTGCCCATCCTACAATGATCCAAGTAGAAACGTAGAATCCTGGGAGGCCTTATTACACAGCCGTGACGCCGAAGAAAAGCGTCAAGTCATCGGTCTCGCCCTAACCGCCGCCGAGTCCCAAGGGATTCGGCCGATGGCGGGGGGGATGATTGGGGGTAGAGCCCGAAGCCTCCTCCCCCGTCATTCTAGACGGGTGCAATAAACGTTATTTCTCTCTCTCTCTCTCTTCCATGCCTCGGGTGGAGGAGCATGAGCCGGGAAGACTGACGAAAAAGTTGTTTAAAAAGGGGCACGTAGGCGGAACGCTTTTAGCAGACTCTTCTTTGTGACATAGCTACTTTTCTGGGCACAAGTTCGCCCTCAATAAATCATTGTGTGTGTTCCCCGTCTTTTATTACGTTACAATATCTGACATATAGACACGTGATATTGCGCTTCTCACAATTGCCAATATTTCCCTAATCTGTCTTCTAGGCATTCGCTTTCAAACTTCCCCAGCAACACGTACGAGAAGCCAAGCTCTTCAATGTGGTAGCGGGTAACTTCTGCAGAGGCATGAGGAGCGTTGCCGAATTCACTGCGTGTTTCACAACTTAGGTGTCCTACATGGTGCTTAGACTTCCCCAAAAATCTACGCAATCAATTACGCCCTTGAAAAAATTGCCCTGAGGGGAAGACAGACTTCTCACTGGCTCTTGAAAGCCACTGTACAGGTAGTGTCCGTTGTGAGGAGTTTTGACATTTACAGTGCTCCACCACATCATGATGATTCGAATGAATTCAGCTGTGTCTTTAGCATGTTGAAGTGTAGCTAACTTTAAACGAGTGAGTGCCCCTGAACACACTCCATACCCGTAAAAATGTTCTCCGGCAGGATACACTTTCTCTCATTCCACCGTGTGTCTGGTCTCTGCCCCCTCACATTACTAGGGCGGAGGAAGTTGTGCTTAAGAGGCTTCGGGCAGGAGTGGCCCTTACACCGGCCGTTGTATCATCATGAAACTGGTCACATTTACGAGTTGGTAATATGTTTCCATATTGCCCCACTCCTGCGATGCAGGCAGATACATACCACCATTATTGGACATGTAAAGGGTTGCAGCCAGGATGCTCCCGTCACTTCGCTCAAGCCGGCCTTCGCTACAGCGACACAGCCAGTTACAACCACTGGATACATGTAAACAGATTCCACAAGACACTGCTTCACTTCATACCAACACCAGCCTAACAGCGCACATTTAACAAAAATATTCTGCCTTAAAAGCAAGCCTTTGTCGCAATAAAAAAAAGTGCTGCCATAAGTTTAAGGTTGAAGATCTTCAGGAGGAGCTTGACGCTCTGGTGCTCCACGTAGGACGGATGAAGTGCTCTTACAGATAATGTGGGGGCCAATCGCAAGAGCTTATTGCTTTCCTCATCGTGCGCCTCAAAGTGCCAAATGACGTTGTCAACACTGTGAACCACGAGAAAGTTTGGTTTTGTCGACGAAAGCATACAAATTCCAGCATTGCGTTCACCAAGCCAATTCTTACGGATATACTTGAAAATGTTAACATTGTCCAATACGAAAAACATTTGTCTAACAGGATTAAATAGGTGTGCATTGACAAAAATACATTTGGGAGAATCAGAAAAAAGAACATTACTTTGTGGTTCATCGAATTATTGTCAAAAATGACTTCGATCAACCGAAGGCGATCATCTTCTAGCTCTATAATGAGGTGCTCGAGAATGCTGTGCTAGTCCTTTGCATCGAGTTTGCGACAAGCAGAGTATGCACATCTTTGTTGGATGACAAAAGGCTCTGCATCATGAGCACGTACGCTGTTCTTGCAGCATTGTTGCTGTCTGTGGCTGCACTTGTGACCAAACTATCTTTATATTCGAAGTAGGACTGTAATAAATCTCATCTATCATCAGCGTTACAGTCCGTTCATGTTCCTTCTGTGCTAATGCCTTGGGGTTTTTTTTTTTTTTGCATATGGCAAGCACGAATGATCTTGTTGCTCCAATGAAGGACTAATGTTGTACGCGGCACAAACAAGCCTAACAGCGTTTGTATGAGGAAGCCACAAGTTTGATGTTCTTCGCGTGAAATTGTGAGCGTGGGATGCTTATGTGAACAAAATACTGGCGAACACAAGAAATTCGGATGAAAACCTCGCTCAATTAGCCAAAACAATCTCAAACTGCTGCCTCAGAAACTTCATCACTTCTGCCTGTCACCAAAATGGAGACTGTAATGATGACGCTTCTTCCAAGTGCGCCAATATACGCCGCAAAAGAAGCTAAACCCTTGCCTAAACGTTTTGGGAACGTGTACCGTTTTCACTACGTGATTAAGTGTAACACCGAGATTAAGTGTAACAAGGAGATGACGTTGCTCTTCTATTCTTGGTGTTTGATGATGAGTGACTCCTATAGTGCATCTTGCAATGGTTCGGCCTCCACACGAGCCCGTTTTCCTTCTGAGCCTTTACGAGCCGCACTTTCGTGTTCTAAAACATACATGGGGCAGCCAGAAAAGATGCTTGGAACAGTTCCAGGTTCAGACGCCTGAGTGTAAGTGAAATGTCAATCACCTTGCGAATGACTGCGTCTGCTTCGCTCGTCGAGTTGACGAAGCCACTTGGGTGAAAGTACTTTTCGTAGAGCGGCAAACATAAAGAAATTTAAAACTAAACTAACACCAGAAATACTGGCAGTTCACTAGTGCAGGACATGCGTGTTGTGTCTGGCACTTCGTTATATCCGATTAGTTTTGGTTTCGATGGATGGATGGATGGATGGATGGATGGATGGATGGATGGATGGATGGATGGATGGATGGATGGATGGATGGATGGATGGATGGATGGATGGATGGATGGATGGATGGAGGAATATGGCTGTACCCTTTAGATCAGGCGGTGGCTAACGCCACCAAGCAGTAATACTTAATTAACCAAACACTGGATTTATTTTTTTTTCTTTAAAAAGTAAGTTTGAGGATTCGTACTTTGCAGTGAAAGGTTTAATTTTCACTCGTGCCTTGACTTGAGCCACCAATCAGATAACCTCCTTCTAGTTAGGTCTACCCGCTTAAAGTCTATTTTGCCTCCCTGTCTCTAAACCCCAGTGCTTTGAAAAACTCTGCACCATCATCCTGAACTATAGGTGAAGCCCTTTACAGAACATTATCAAGTGTTCGGCTGTTTCTTCTTTCTCTCCACACGCACTGCATACTGTGTCTACCCCTTCGTATTTGGCCCGATATGTGTTCGTTCGCAGTATTCCCGTCCTGGCCTCAAACAGTAGAGAACTACCCCGAGTATTATCATAGATCCTTTCCTTGGCAATTTCCTGCTTAAAAGTTCGATAGATCTCTAGTGCGGACTTCTTAATCAGTCTCCGTTTCCTTCACTTTTTTCTCTAGCATGTGTCGCATAGCGCCACGCAACGGCGATATTGTAAACAATTGCAATGCGCTAATGCGCGCTCTCTGCATAAACAGTTTCCTTCCGGTTCTTGGCCTAACTTGGCGCTCATTGCAATGCGCCGGGGCTAACGCGCCCATTACCTCCGTCGGACGGCGCCCCGGCGGCGATACGATAACATGCGAAGTTGTATTGTTCGTTTCTTGTAGACGCGTTAAAGAGACAATAAAGTCAAATAACAATTTATGTCAGAGTGAAAGCCTAATGTATGACAACATCTGAAACAACAATGGGTGTGTTCGAATACTCACTGTAGACAGCTAAATAAACAGCTAAATGGACGGCGGCCATCTTAAGTCCTCATTGAATTCTCACGTAGGCGGTAAAATAGACAGCTCCGAGAATACAGCATCATAGACAAATACGATGCAGGCTACTTTGCTCCCCAGACAAGAGGTGGCTCAGCAAATCACTCAGATAGATCTAATATCGCCGAAATGGTCGTCTACACACAACCAGACGCTTCTTCGGACACTCAATCAAATTAACGTTTCTTTTTCTTAAATTTTAGCACGAAATGAGCCAGAAAATGCACTAGTTACTTTTATTTTTTAGCTTTCTTTTTTCGAAGCGAGCTGGCGCCTGGTTGCGCATAAACCATTCAGATGTGTTCCTTTTCTCGGACAGCACGGGCTCGGTGTTGTCTTTTAAGCTGTCTGCGGCGACTGTCTACTATGCTGTCTAAGAATTGGACTGCAGCCAATATCTTCAACAGCAGTGCCCTACGTATCGAGAATTCGAGGTAAATGTACGAGAAAACGTGTGCTACGAGAGGACATTCACAAAATGATCCTGATTGCGTCATAGGTACCACCTACATTTAATCACTAGTATTCTAACCAGCTACCCTAAATAAAAAACCTTCTGTGCATCAAGAGACGTAATAAATGTCTTCTTGTTCGTTTGTGTTTCATTTATGAAAAAAAAACGGCCGGACGTTACTATGGAAAGTAGTGGGAGTGGTACAAAAATTTTACTTTCACCCTGTTAAACTGTACAGGTCATGCCATCTAGCGAGGCCTGGTTTAAGCAAGCGTGTCTGGCAGCTCACTGAACATGCCAGGAAATTGTTCAATGGCCCTTGTTGCTTCTGTGGCTCCCACTACTTCTGTTCTGCTGCTACTAAACTCGGCGGTATGTCTGTCTGTCTGTCTGTCTGTCTGTTCGTTCGTGCGTTCATTCGTTCGTTCGTCCGCCCATCCATCCATCCGTCCATCCACCTGTCTGTCTGTTGGTCTGTCTGTCTCTACTGACTGCTATTATGTTGGCTGCCCGAAGAACGAGGGGTTCAAAGGTATGTTTCAGCTAGATAGGTCGACAACATTTATTAAAACAAGATCAATCACTGAAAAACTTGGATATGAAAACGACAGCATACAGAGGATTACTATACTTAAGCGCACTGTATTCTTTTTCTCGTGGTCACTGTTTCTGAGCGACTGGCATGCATCATCAAAATGCATGTTCTTAGGAGAATCCCAAATTTAAACAACGCCGTAATTTTATGCCAACTGATGTCTTACCTGGTTTAGCAATAGTCAGTGTCTCCGTAGTTACAACACCGAGGAGTGCTACTTTCGTCCCGGAAATGTTGTACACGATACTCTTTGGTAGTGTGATGTTGTTCTGCGTGAAGAGGGGCTCGTTCGACGTATCCAAATTAGTTCCAAGCACAGTTACATTCGCCTCCGTCATTTTTTGAAGAAAAGGCACTAGTCCTGCCGGCCCATCATCGAATTCATGGTTTCCAAGACACTGAATAGAGAGAAAAAGGTTGATGAAGAAGAATTCAAATTTGCATCTTTTTTTCAGCTGTGGTAACTATGTATATATTTTCTAAACTTGAAAAACTTCATTTATTGTGGAGTTCATTGTTACTATTTAAAAGACACCCAGTGTATCCGTCTGAAAGGTGATGCAACATTTCAGTCTGAATTTTGAAAAATGCCATTTGCTCACATCATAAGCGTTGTAGTTTGAACTTATAAACCAAGCGCTGTAGGTAAATTGATTCCAATAGACACCACACTTAAAATATGTTCTTTTAACCTATGCCTAGGGCTCCGTGTTTTCGAAGCTTGTTTTTCTTGAAAATTGAACAGTGTTGTTCTATAGTTAAAGTTTTAGGAGGTTATTAGGCTTTCTTGGGAGTTTTTTTTCTCGTAAACAACTTATTCTACAAAATTTGGTGCTCAATATTGCATTATAAGTTGTTTATTAGGATATTGTTTTCCTTTCAATGAAAAAGAATTTCAATATGTCTTACAACCCTGCTTCTCCAATCTCTCACTTTTTCTGTAGGTCAACTTTTACTTGAGCTTTTGATAAAGCTGGGCTGCACTGTTGTAACACTTCTCTGCAATGCTGCGCTGCAGTGAAATGACAAAAAGTGTAATTTTGGCGAGAAGGAGCTAGATAAACTGCGTGCAATCTCTTATCTTCTTGGACAAAAGTAAAAACCTGTAATAAAATTATTCCCAATAGTGCAAAATCTGAGTTGAAATTTTATTCTGACACGAAACGATGCAAACACAGTACAGGTATTTTAGATTACTCAAATGGTTAAACGCACGATCACTTAGGCACACAGACACAAATACATATGCACAAAACACCTGCCTTTGGTAGTTTTACAACCTTAAAGCGTGGTTTAATAGACGCAAGTACACTTTGGGTGGTTGCTGCCACCGATGGATGTTTAATCTGATCAATCTCAGTTTTTAAAATGCTCTTTAAAATCAGAGTTGATTGGATAAGGCTGAATTGTCCAACATTTTGCCGGCGAGTGTTCATCAAATTTTCCTGATGAATTCGGAAACACAAAACCCTACCTGTGTCATAGATAGATACGGCAATAGGTAGGGCGCACTCTAATTCACCAATTTCGGGGGCTTGGTAGCAAGGCTTCAAGTTTTCGAACGATGCGTCCACACCACGTTGGTGAAATAGCCAGCACACACACTGAAGTCAGGCACATCAATGAAATGGCATAACTAGTATATAATACGTACCTTTCATAGGTGGAGTGATTTATAAGGTGCCATTAACCAGCTGCAAATCATATACAGGTCACCGTTGGAGGCGCAATAACGAAAGGGAACAGGAGGGGTCTATTTCTGACTCTCCGGTTACACTTCGTGGAAAGCACTTTCGACAGCGTGACTAGACGCTAGTTCTGAAGGAGGTGGCAGATTTATCCATAGAGAGTATATTCTTAGGTCGTAAAATAATAAGAGCATAACCATCTGAGACATATAGCACTGAACTGCCGTTATGTCGACGGCAGCAGTGACTTTGCTCTGCTTCTCTCTCTTCTATATTCCCCTAATCCCTTTTCCCAGTGCAAGGTAGCATACCAGGCTCAGCCATAGTTAACCTATGTCTTTAATTTATTTTTTGCTTTCTTGATATTAGAAGAAACAGAGAGAGCTGCATGAGCCACGTGTCTGCTTTAGTGACTTCGAAAGCGAGGTTTGGAGTTGATTAATCTTCAACTAAGAGAAACAAGAAAAGACAAAGATGAGTATAAAAAAGTGATTGAACTAGAGCCTTCTGTGTACTATGCGCATCTCTCAGGCACTCCTACTAGAGTCTGACCGACCGACTGACTGACCGACCAATACCTGTTTCTCGTTTTTGTTTTGCTCGTCTTCATCTTTCCGTGCTACTTCTCGTCTGAGATGTAAATGTCAATTATTGCGACTGACAGGAAGCATACAAATCTATGCTACTCATGCTACAGAACAAACTGCCTCGCGTGATTTCTCACGTGCAGATTTCTGTATGCAAAGCGATCCTGCTAAATATAACCAGCGATTAAAAACATGAGTAATATCTTCATCCTAGCAATCGGTTTAGCAAGAAAGTGAAACGTGTGCTTCTTTAGAAGTATTGCTTGTTGTGTATTGATATTGGGAACTTGAAGAATTGTATTTGCGTTTCGCATTTATAGGCACCGTGAAGTCGAGTTTTCAAACCTGACTACAATGCTAGAACGCATAGCCTGGTGGATGAAAAAAAATCTCAGCATATTCAATGACTGAATGATGATGAGTGGAGCGAAAAGCTGGAAGGTTTCATCGCTATACCGTGAACATTCCGCGAGTATCAGCCACTACATCATCAAGGACGTGACAAACACGGTGCATATTTATATAAGAAGTTTTATTATTCGTAAGTAGTAGCTATACGTTGCTTCTGTTCCCTCTTCATTTTAATGACTTTATGGTCGATGAAGTGGTGGATCGGTGATAGGGCGCATTGGGATGTTTGCAAGAATGAAGTAGTGGGCAGTTTGCAAAGACAGAACTATAGGCTGTCACGTACAAACAAGGGATGGACATAGTGGGGCAATCTACGGTTCTTTGACGCGCGCCTAAATGCAAGTACACGACCATCTTGCATTTATTATTGGCTACTCCTCAACAATATTTGCTTTATGGCTGGTGAAGTGGTGGATCGGTGATGGGGCGTACTGGGATGTTTGCAAGGATGAAGTAGTGGGCAGTTGCCAAAGGTGTAACAATAGACGATCACGTGCATACATACATACATACATACGTACATACATACATACATACATACATACATACATACATACATACATACATACATACATACATACATACATACATACATACATACATACATACATACATACATACATACATACATACATACATACATACATACATACATACATACATACATACATAAATACATACATACATACAAGGAATGGACAGACCCACGCCTTTGGGAGCTTCATCCCTAAAACAACATTGAGACAGGGTTAGTCAAAATGGGCCATGATGGGCGCCCCTGACGCCCTGCATGACCGGGTGGATTGTGACTGGGCTACACGGGGACGCATGCACGCGTTTATTTTCTGCGTGCCTCTAACGGCTAATGTCAGCGACTTTGAGACACAATGTGAGCAACGCAATGGACTTTGCCTATAGCACCGTTTGACCTGATAACAGCTAGGTTGACGCCTAAAGACTGGCACGTCTATATCGCGATGACTACCACCTATGATAATGATTTACCTGTTGTGGTAACAGATATATTTAGCATATACCTGAACACAGTGTATCGTTAATCGCGCAGAGAGATGACATCAACAAGCGCAGACTGCACATATATGCGCGTCTTCAAAGATCATCAGTTATGGGGAGTCTGCGTTCCTGAACCCAATACCAGCGCTTATAAGTACTGCGCTTCAGTAACTAAGGACAAAGAGGTTCGTAGCTTGAGCCACGAACGTGCCCCGCCGTTCCACGTCCTCTCCTCGCCTCAGTGTTGCTACACAAAAGCATGCCATTCGCCAGTCGACATCGTTGTCTTGCTGCAGTGCACACAGCAGCAGATTTATGGAGTCAGCCGGTGCTATCGCATTCTAAGTAGTATGCGGTGAAACATCAGTCGTGCATGTGGAAGCTGCATTACTTCAACAACAAGTTGTCACGCGTTAACACAAAGTGAAAGTAAAAAAAAAACATGTCTGCATCGGTGACTATCCGATGCTTGTCGACTTTGTTTGCGGAGAATTTTATAGACGGTTTCAAGGTTGAAAGCGCTGTACCCCAGACAACTTTTGGTCACCTCTTTCACCAGCTCGTAATGCTTAAACTGAAAGCACGTTTTCAAGTTCTTTTTAATTGTAGAAAATATATCTCTTTAGTTCTTTCAATAAAAAATGTGCGTAAAGTTCGAAGTAACCTCTTTCAAATTTTTTGTAGCCTAAAAGAACATTTACTTGAATATATTTTGCCTAATAAACGAAAGAAACTGAAAAAAAAAACAGCAGGCTATTTTCTGAAGGTTTTCTTGCCCACCGAAGCTATTAGGACTGATCGGTGGAGAAAACCAGGTGTCATGAAAGGGCTGTGTTTATAGTCAAATGGTCATATCCAGCGTTAGTGATGTCGTCTACACCCTCACTGCGAATGCTCGCGTCTCGTGCCAACTGTCGTTCCCCCCCCCCCCCTTCACAACTCGCAAGGCCGTCGCAGGCAGCGTCTGCTAGTAAAAAAACTGACCGGCCAACCCAGTCGAAAATTCCACCAGGCCGTGTATGGTGTGTTTTTCCTGTTCACACCAGAGTTGGAATTCAGACACGGTTTCTGATGCATACGGCCATTTTATAGTGCGACACGGGCTGGTATTTTTTGGCAAGACCCGGGCTGGTGTGTTTTGGGAAAACCCAAACTGGTGTGAGTTGGTAAGAACCAGGCTGGTGTGTTTTTGCATGACGGGTTCTCGTGTATTTCTTCTCTTTACGTTATTAAATGCACTGTGGATGAAAACATGCACTTAGACAAGCCCATGGGCCAAAACAGCAGGCTTGCACAGTAGTGTAGAACTGAAAAGGACTTCTCTATTTATTTTTGGTCGCTCCTCATTTCAGCTTGATCCTTGGGTTGAGCTGTGTCGCTTTCTTTTCCACAATACTTCAGGCAGCACTTCAGCCCATGAAAAAGACGAACAAATAATTGCAATATCGCCCAGTTTGATGAATGAAGTTAAATATGCTTGTTGCAGACTCGTGCTTTTACTTTTACAAAAAAATAACCATTTGCATATATTCGAACTTTCAAATATTTTTCAAATCGAACTTGCTATTGATTCTTTTTCACTAAATGATTCACTATTAGAACTTTCCGAAGACAACAGTGAATGTCCAAGTTGCTGCGACCCCTTCAAATTCTTTAAAATGCTTTACCTAAGCACACTTCTACTTTGCGGAAAAGCTG